TATTATTTTTGGTAATACTATAATTATTATACTATGATATAAAATTATAAATTTATAATTATAATATAATATTAAATAATTATAATATAATATTAAATAAATAAAATATAATATTAAATAAGTAAATATATAATATTATAAATAAATTTTTAAATAAAAAAAGAGAATAGTGTTTATCCGCTTTATCTCAAAAAAATTAAGAAGAAAAAAGATAAAAAATATCTTAATTCATGCTTTAAAAATATGATAATTTAATCTTTTTCAATATGTGTTTATTAAAATAAGAGAATAGTGTTTATCCGCTTTATCTCAAAAAAATTAAGAAGAAAAAGGATAAAAAATACCTTAATTCATGCTTTAAAAATATGATAATTTAATCTTTTTCAATATGTGTTTATTAAAATGATGTAACTTTAGAATAATATTTTTCTTAATTTTTAAGAAATAAAATGAATAAGTACTATTCTCATAAAAAATAAATTATGTAATAATATATTATATTATAAATTTATAATATTACATAATATTATAACAATAGTAGTTTTTTGTTTAATTACTATTTTCATAGAAAAACCCAATGCAAAAAACATGGTCTTGGTTTTGAATTTTAATTGAAACTTATGAGCTAAGCAAAGATTTCCATGTTTGGCATGGGATCTTAAATCTGTTGTGGACTGAATTCTAGTTTCTGTTCATCTATTGTGAACTAAGGACTGTAAAAATCCAAAACATGCAGAAAACTTTTCTTTTTTTTTAAAGAAATTGGACTGCAGCAGGGAATCAAGATGGAAAAAGAAAACGAAGTGATAAAAAGAGTTTATAATATATTTACCCCAAAAAAAAAAAAACAATTTATAATATAAGGGTTATGTATTTGATATGGGATAGAATCCCAAATCCACAGTTCAAATAGGGATATGAATAGATTTATTTTTAAAAAATATAAAAATAAATTATTTTTTAAAATTATATATTAAGATAAATTTTTTATTTTTTAATGTGTGATATTAACTTTTTATTAAGAATATTTATGTGATAAACAAAATTTTAATATCATATGTTAAAAAATAAATAATTTATCTTATTTATAATTTTAAAAAATAAAAAAATGATGTGTGCACATTTGAATTCAATATTCGGGTATGCACACATCATATAAAAAAAAATATCCATCACCCGATCTAATTTTTTTCTTTTTATGTGGGGGGTGCACACCCGAGTGTTAGATCTGGGTATGCACCAATCATTATCCTAAAAAATAATGTATTCCTATATACTTTTAAAAAATGAATTTGTTTCTACCCTCGATAGGAATGAATTTGAGGTTTAGCCCGTATAGTAAGTCCAATTTAAAAATGTAAACAAAATTATTAATGACGTAAAATCCCATTCAACTGAAGCGGCTGGGAATTAACGTACTTTTTGATATGTTAGATTATCATTGACCCAGCCAACCCGGCAAAAGTAGTACAATTGCATGGATGTGCTTTCTCCTTTATCTTGTCAGGTCCACAATTCACATGGAGGTTTTTTGCCCTTTTTGGCAGGTAATAACGAGGCATGCGAACTAAGGAAAGTTTTTATCTAGCTGTATTCCATTTAAATAATTAAATGAAAATTTTTTTTATTGAAAATAAAAATTCTTTACCCTTTTAGGCAGGTAACAAAGAGACGTGCGAGCTGAGGAAAGTTTTTATCTAGTTATATTTCATTTAAATAATTAAGTGATAATTTTTTTATTAAAAATAAAAAATTTTAAGTTTAAATTGTATGATATATAAATAAGTAAGATAAAAAATAAAAAGAAATTACTTTTTATTATATAA